AAGTTTTCACAATCACCTCTTTCAGTTTGTTCTCTGCAATACGAACTTCTAATCTCAACAGAAGTGATCCTCTTTGTATCTCAACAGAAGTGATTCCTATGCAAAGCGGAAGGCGACCTGCTGAGAAGAAAGAGGCGCACAGAAGGGCGAGGCGAGAGAAAAAAAGTTGGCGCTCATATATGTGCTCGTCATTGGTGCTAATGCAGGAAGCGGAATATCACAACCCATCATGCAGAGGTTCCCGACATCAAAATTTCCGCTGTTGACTAGTCATTTCCAAAGGAACACACAAAAAAGCTCTCGAAACAAGCTCGTAAATCTTCTGTGAACATTCAGATAAAGAGGACGTTACCTCATTAAACATACTGCAGTATGTTGACAAGTTATACTCTCCATCATTGTTCATAGAAATTGTGACGATTTTTTATTTACATTTCAAGTTTGGATACGAAAGCTTTAGAAATAAAATAAATGTGTATTATTCTTTCACAACAGAGGCATAATGTTTCCATCAGTCCACACCATTTTAGTGAAAACTTCACAGTCACTGTATGGGCTTTTTGTGCATTTTATTTTGTATTTTTTGTGAGACGTGAAGTGAGGAATATTCCAACAGAGCCCTTGACAGCATAATCTCTCATTACGCAATTGACTGCCACCATTATCCTTGCCGACACTCGAAAAAAATCCAATATCCGCTTCTTGTTTTCTTAAAAAAGTGACTCGCAGTCGCTGTGGAAATCCAGACCTTGTTACGCAATTTTGTGTGACCGTTTGACTCAAGTCCAAACAAAAGTTTGGTAAAACCCGAGTTTGAAGGCCGGGCATTGAGAGTCTCCGTATTCTTCAGAGAACATTATTTTGTTCGTATCCTCACTACAATACCCAGGTAAATGAGTAAAGTAATAGCGAAAGACCTCCGTAAAAACGTTTCAAAATCCAAGTCAAATTGGAAAATTATTCCAAATTATAATGCATGAAAGTCAGTTACCTTGAACAGTGACATTTCGTTCATTTGCATACCAGTCAATGAACTAAAATGAAAAAAGTGAGTAATACATTATTCTAATAGGCGCATAGAAACATTCAATATGTAAGCAAACAGAGGTAGGAGAAGTCACTTAACGGCCGCCGAACGAAACACTAGGCAACTGTCGGAGTATTTCCTCAAGACGGGTCACGGACCGCGCGCAATCATCTCTCCCTCGGTCTTTCCTATCGTCAGCATTTACGAACGCACACTTACATTGCAGTACTCTATCGCATACGTCGGGGGAGACCAGTCGGAAATTCCCTGCTGGTGGGAGATACCTAATTGGGGAAAACCACGCAAGCCGGTGTGAAGGTCGACGATGTATCTAACCCTCAAGTGGGGGAACTGCCATCTCCCGTGATAGTAGTGCATGCTCTACACAAAGGGCACTAATGATTATAGCCGTTGACGCGTCTGGAAACACACAATAATCAATCAATCAATCAACAACCAAGCTACATAGCTTCAATTCAGACCTGCACCCTCGAACATTCTGCACTCACGACCCGACCATCTGCCCGCAAGTGGGGGTGGGGGTAGGAATCTTTGGGGGGGGGGACAAGGGTATAGAGGGGGGGCGGGGGGGACACGACTGACGCTGAGCACGAGGCGGCGCTTAGACTTGAATACCGAGCGCACCAGTATGAAGCCATTTTCCCACTTATTCAAATGGGTCATGCTCCCATATTAGAAAGAAAAAAAGGACCAAAATTTCATTATTCTGAACCCTGGTACTATATTCATCCGCAAGAGGAATATGGTGGTTGGTGGCCGGGGTAGGAATCTTGTGGGGGAGAACGACAGGACTGGACCCCGTAGCACGAGGAGGCGCTTAGATTTGGGAATACCCGAGAGGCGAACCAGTATGAAGCCATTGCCGCCAGTTATTCAAATGGGTGAATGTCCCATATTAGAAGAGAAAAAAAGACCATAATTCAGTTATTTCTGTACCCTAGTACTTCTATTCATCGCAAGAGGAATGGTGTGTTGGTGGGAAGGGTGGGGGGGTAGGAATCTTTGTCGGGGAGGGACAGGACTGACCCCGTAGCACGAGGAAGAACGGCTTAGAGATTGATACCGACGGGCGACCAGTATGAAAGCCATTTTCCCAACTTATTCAAATGGGTGTTGACTGTCCCATCATTAGAAAGAAAACAAGGACCATTAATTCAGTTATTCTTGTACCTAGAGGCGTACTTATTCATCGCAAGAGTGAATGTGCGTGGTGGGGGTAGGAATCTTTGTCATGACGAGTTGTGGGAGGGACAGGACTGACCGCGTAGCACGAGGAGGGCGCTTAGATTGAATACCGAAGCGCCACCATGTGAAGCCATTTCCCACTATTTTTAAAATGGGTGATCTCCCATAATTAGAAAGAAAAAAAAGTACCATTAATTCAGTTATTCTGTACCCTGGGTACTTATTCATCGCAAGAGTGAATGGTCGGGTGGTGGGAGGAAAAAAAAAGAAAAGGGGTAGGAATCTTTGTGCGGGGAGGGACAGGACTGACGTAGCTACGGAAGGCGCTTAGATTGAAATACCCGAGACGACCAGTATGAAGCATTTCCACTTATTCAAATGGTGATTCCATATTAGAAAGAAAAAAGGGACCATTAATTCGTTATTCTGTTACCCCTGTACTTTATTCATCCGCAAGAAGTGAATGGTGGTGTGGGGTAGGAATCTTTCGTGGGGAGGGGACAGGACTGACGTAGCACGAGGATGGCGAATTAGATTGAAATACCCGAACGTCCAATGTGAAGCCAGTTTTCCCCCACTTATTTAAATGATAGATTCCCATATAGAAAGAAAAAACCATAACCTTCAAGATTATTCCTGTCCTAGGTAACTTATTCATCGCAAAAGTGAATGTGGTTAGGGGTGAGATGCGTCTGGGGCGGTAGGAATCTTTGTGGCCCGAGGGGACAGGACTGACACCCAGTCCAGCACGACAAGAGGCGCTTTATAGATTGAATACCGAAGCAGGAGCGACCAGTATGAAGCCATTTTCCCAGTTATTCAAATGTGTGGGGTATGTCACACATATTTGAAGCAAACGGGACCATAACTTCAGTTAATTCTGTAGTTCACTGGCTCCTATTCATCTAATGTCCTACCCACTTACTGTATAAAAAAATTAGTTTTTAATTGATGCCTCATTCCAAGTAGAAATCTAACGATATTTTAAGGATCAGTGCATTCTTTAAAACTTATTTATTTTGAATTCTAACTAACAAAAAATTAAATTTAATAAATGATTGCTTATCAGAATTATAAATCGTCACAAAATGATAACAAAATGAAGGAAAATTTTTTAGAGCAATCTTTACAGCAAACCCATTCACATAAACATGGCGGATTATGATGGTATAGAGGCAGATTAGCAAAAGAAAGGGTAATGTAATTAAGCGGCCCACATTATATTGTCCTTATCCATATAATACTTCATATGAATCTGAAAGAACGAGACAATTCAAAAAAATATCAGTTATCCCAAACCACTTCTCTGATAAACATTGTTATGGGCAATTCCATGGACAATTAGCATGGGAGGCACTGTAAATAAATGCAAAGAAATTATTTTATTACCATGTTCTCGTTAAATGATGAATTTAAATAAGTCTTTGTTGATTTTGATATTAAAAAAAAATTATAGTGAATTCCTTCATTTGTTTTAAAAATAAATTTTTTATTGCTTTGATAAAACCATTCTTTTTATTCTCTAATTAAACCAACATAGTTATTGGAAACCGTAGTTTCTTAACTCCATCCTCAAACAATAACACTTCAATATTCATTAATTTTGTGTTTAAGGAAAAGGGACATTTCGTGAATTAAATCTAGCAATCATCGACTTACATTCATCCAACCTAAATAACAGTTCGTATTAATATTTGGGTTTTTCTACCATAAAAATAATGCCTTATAACTAGTAGTTCGGTTGTATTTCACGCATTTCATATAGGTCGACCAAAAAATATTTCCAATAAATTATCAAAGGCAATGTTATTTTGAAACTGAGACACCATTTTTCGGGTTGATTCCTCTTTAAATTTACGCCTCTAAAAGTTCGAATGGTTGCAACTCACCCACATCCGTCCTATAGGATTTCCTCATCCCCACCCTTTTAAATTTCTTTCTTTCATTTACACTCAAGTGCGGCCAGCGCGCGCGGCTAACTCGGCAGGGGTCAGACAAGTGCAAAATAAAATTCCTGGAATGATAGGTTTAGCAGATATCTTAGTGTAATAAACCATAGTATTGTAAAGAAATAATCTCCACAAAAGTATTTGGTAATAATTTTATAAATAATTTGCAAAGTTAACTTTCAGGGAAACACTTTTCCCCCATCCTCAGTGGATCTCTAGCAAAAATGTGAGAAATGAAACATTAACTAGTTGGAACACCCAAAAACGGGAGGGGAGGCCTTCCCTACTTGGTGAATTGCATAGTGGAGAGTCATGTTAACTGTTGAAAGAAAAATACCAAAAAAATAAGAAAGGATACCATCACTTCTTGTTTGAGATATGACGTACCAAAATAAAAGATGTACTCTGAGCTGCTCAAATTGCATGAAGACGTTGATCTCCCAATAGAAACTTACAACTGCTGAAACACC